GTCGCGATTACCGCGTTTTCTCATGCCGTGCGGGTTAAAAAAGTCCAACAAGATCTGGAACGCAAGTTTTATCCGACCTCCTCTGTTGATGAAGAGCTGATCAGGAACGGGCCCGTCGAAGCTGCGAAGGAACTCCGCCTCGAAAACATTGTTCACTTCCGACTCGGGTGACACCGGTCCACGTGAGCCCGAAGACAATTGCGCAAAAGCTGCACGGGCCGCATGCGGCTTCATGCGGCTTTTGGGCATTGTGCAAAGCCGCGGGTTTCTCTTCGCTGTTCTTGGTTCTTGGCTTGCTAAGTACCATTCAATGTCTTGTGAATGTTATACTGTACCATTTCATTCAATTCGTATGTCACGCGTCACGGCGGGCAAAATATACGAAAATTTTCGTACATGTCACGGGTCACCAAAGGGATGTTCGAATACCCAAAACAAGTCACAAAATCGGCGGGAAAGGGTCAAAAAAATCAAAATTTTTGCGCGCACGGCGCGTACAGTTCAAAAGCACGAAATGCTCATTTGATCTTGAGGATCTCAGGGAGGCCATTCGTTCCGATGGTTTGGGGGTGGTGGCGGCAGGATTGGGGCCAAAAATAAATAAATAAAGTAATATACCGCTTTCAGTGTTATCTTCCCGTGGTGATCTGTGTTGTGTTGCCTGATTATTCTACACTTGAAGCTGGTGGTTCTTCGACCTTTTGAGAGGTGCCCGACCATTTTTGGCCGATCTACGAATTTTTTCGGGGTGTCACGCTCTGCCTGGGCGATCTACGAAAACCAAAGTTCGAATTTTTGGGTCACGGGTCACAGCCCGTTAGAATTGAATGAAATGGTACAGTATTCTACTCCCGAGAGTGGATGTGCAGCCGTGGGAGGCCGCATTTTTCACGCCTCACGAAGGCATTACTCAAGCTCCACTTCCTTTCCCATATTCTCACGTCTACCACGCAGCGAAGGCCATGCCAAGGATGTTCCCTCTCCCCACAGCACCTCTCCTGCGCCTCAGGTGAGCTTCCATTGATTTAGTTAATTGATACCTCTCAGATTTCAGATTTGCCGTGCGGCTTTGCACAATGCACAAAAGCCGCATGTGGCTCGTGCGCAACCTATCTAATGTCGCGTGTACGGCTTCCCAGGCTTTATCGCAGGTGCAATTACACAGGGCCGCAATCTCGGGATCGGAAAGAACGGAGGCCAAGTGGTCGGTGATGAATCGGGATATACAAAAGGCTTAATCAGCCGCACTTTGGCCTTGCGCCGGTCAAGCAAAGGCTCCAAGCACTGCACTGGGCTATGCTTGTCGCGGAAGATAAAGTTCTCGCAGTGGGTGGGATAACTGGGCTCAGTGAGTCGATTCACCCGAGGCTCATGGGTGTAATGACAAGGTGGGCAAGTCGCGAGGATTCTGGTTTTTGGCTCAAGTTTGAACGTCTTCAGTGCGTCCTCTAACCTCGTCGGAAGCTGGGAAAGAACGTCGCGCTGTTTGGCATTGTACTCCGCGCCGAGAGGGGAGGACAAGGACATAGTGAGGTTGATGATCAGGGTAACCGTGTCGATGAGGAAGTTACATGGGTCAGTGACCAACCCGATGACAACGTTGGAGATTATCGCGAATAAGATTACAATCTGTGAGACAGTGTTATGATCTCCGATAGGATCCTCGAAGTGGTGCTCTAGATAGACATGAGTCTCGTATCGGTAGTGTGGACAGCAGTGGCTTACCTGTATTTTACTCTACTTCCACTTCATTCATCCCGACATCTGCACTCGGTACAATGGCCCCGACACAATCCACGAGCTTATCGAGCGCTAAAGCTTCGGCGTGGACTTCGTCCCACATTTTTGCTAGTCCCACGTCGTTTTTGGAAGCTTTTTTAATGCTTCTCAAGAGCTTGCCTGCTGCGACAACTGTTACGGTGGCACATCAAGCGAAAGACGAACGGAGTCGTGGTCGGAGTTCGTCACATATAACTCATATACCAGATCCAGGGACTGTTGTGCAGTGCGAATACGCCCCAAAACGTCGGTGAGGGTGCTTGCGCGCTGCTCTTTCCTCGTGGGCGGCGCTGTGCGCTTCGGAGCAGTGTTAACAAATGATTGAATGCTCGAGATGGCCTCTGAGGGCGAGAGCAGCTGGAAGGTAAGTGGGACATTGGGGATGGAGTCTTGAAAGGCATCGCGAGAGCTAAAAAGCCTGGAGTGCTGCTGTCCTCTGACGTCTGGACCATCGTCAGTGACGACCAGCCCCGTGAAGACATTGGCGAGGTTGTCGATGGGACCATCGTCGGTGATGCCCAGCCCCCTAAAGACATTGGCGAGGTCGTCTACCCCCTTGGCAGTGGCCTCCTGAGCATCACGGAAGTCCTGTACTTCTGCTTGGTGCTTGGCCCGCTGACTGACTGGGAGACGGTCCGTGCAGAGGACAATCCTCACATTACCATGTCCTCGGCATACTGACCAAATCTGCCGACGTACGACGTCAGACAGCTTCAGCAGGGAAGGGTGACAAGGCTAGGTGAGGGAAATAGTGACGTTTTAATCCGTCGCTGCTTTGTGATAAAAGGGGAAAGTGCCCGGTAGGTAGGTAGGTAGGTAGAATTACACGGCACGGAGATGGATGTCTTGAGAACAATAGCATTCGCTTGTAGTGCATGTGCATAAAATTGCATGCTATCTAGAGATAGTATACAAGGAAGCATATTGCGTAAGGTATGATCTGGCGCCAATCTCCGGTAAGCTGGTGCTCAAGGAGGAACAGTGTGACTAGGAAATGGATAGGGATTTGCGGCAGAATGCGCTCTGGAAGTCAAAAATCAATGAATCAACACATTGGACGATAAACATACCGTTCATGGGTATGACTGGAGCTTGCGGACCGCCGGGAGGAGCATAGGAGGTGGCGGGCGCGGGCACATGAGCAGGAGCAGGTGCAGCAACCGAGGTGGCCGTACATGCCGTCGACAGAGATGAGGCACAAGTAGGGCATAAGTCACACCGGCGACAAAAACCTGTGGTCTATCGATATATTAGTGAAGATATCCAGAATCAGCATGGAATACTCACAATGGTATGTAGGTCGCTGGGGGGGAATAGGACGTGCGCGAGCCGCACAACACGGAGTGGTAAGAGTGTGAGCTCATTTGCAAGAAGCATGCAAAGTAGAAGAGTCTCTTAAAGCCTGGAGAACAATTAATTGGTGAACAATTAGCAACGGGTAACAAAAAGCTACGCCCAGTGGGCGCAGATGGGGGTAAGTGCAGGCCGCAGATCAGCGAGACCTCCAGCATGGGTCAAGCTCGGGGTCTGCACACGTACAACACGCCACAGCACCGTGAGTGACCCACCTACCCCTGCCGCATACAACGGATGGTCCACGCCTCCACTCAATATAAGGCAGGCCTAGGATTCTGGAGGAGAGCTCGTTCGATTCGGGCCTGATTTTTGGGAGCCCCTGTCTCGTTTCGGGGTTGTCGGCTTCGGCGTCGGTCCGGCTTTTATAGGAAGAGGAAGGGAAGCTGAGAAGGGAAACGGAAGAAGGGAGAGTGGGGAGAGGACTGGGTGCATATCCCAGGTATCTGAGGAAGGTGGGCTTGATCCGAGTCATAGACAGACGCTATTGTTGTTCAGCCTGTGGACCACGCGAGTATAATATACCCCCAACAAATTTAGTGCTCGTACCTCGCATGTTGTATGAGGTAGACACTGTTCTTCCAAGCAAAAGAGGTAATGGTTGGTTGTCAGAGCCGTAATAGGGTCAGTCAGAGTAAGTCGTTTCGGCTTTTCTGGGGTCGTTTCTAGGGTCGTTTCTGAAGTCGTTTATGGGGTCGTTTCTCGAAATTGTTGGCATCATAAACGTGGGGAGAAACGACTTCGGAATTAGACAGGTTGCGCAGCAGCCACCGAGCCAGCTGGTGGCTAATTCTGTGTGCGCAAATGGTGGCTGGTGGCTCTGGTAAATTTTGAATCCCGGGTAGCGAATGACTCTGAAAGGCGGAGTAATAAAGGTAGCCATGCATTTCTGCCTCGACAACCACTCTCAACGCTCACCCAGCGTAATTTCGGCTCAAATGAGAATTTCTTCGCCTTTCCTCAGCCAGTTGGAGGTGTGGAGTGGCCATGCACCTGTGAATGCTCATTTGGATCCCAAAACGATTCAATCAAACCAAAGAAAATGTGTCACTGATTTAGCCATTCGAGCCAGCAGCCACCATTTGCGCACAGCAAATCAGCCACCAGCTGGCTCGGTGGCTGCTGCGCAAACTGTCTATTATTTTGGTAGAGAAACGACTTGCAGAAACTCCTCCAGAGGGGTTTCTGAGGCGTTTCTGGGGCGTTTCTCGTTTATCCCACACTTTAATTCTTTTTCATAATTCGAGAAACAACTCCAGAAACGAGTCCAGAAACGACCCATTAAAACTTACTCTGACTGACCCTAATGCGTCTGCTTATGGTACTGTTTGATTATTCTCTGTTGCGGAAGTCGCCTGTTCGAAACAGGCTCGAACCATGTCCAACAATTCATGACTTTTTGCATCGGGCTCCCCACACTTTTTGTTGGGTTTAATTAAATTTCCATCAATACCGTCTCCCTCCATCCGTTCGCTCCTGCTGTCATCTTTTGAATCTGTGTTTGGTTTTCCCGGATTAATCATTATAACACATTGTCTTCCTCAACAGTTTTGGATTCCCTTGTCACCACAATTTCCATGGCTCGTGGTAATGTATCCGCTTCTTTGGGCGCAACTGTTGGGAAAGGTTTTTGCGGAGGTCGCCTGTTCGAGGACCATGAATATCTGTGGTAGCCTTTTTCGGCTTCGCCGCACTTTTTGTTCAGCTGAAGTTTCCCTCACGCTCATTCCTTCCTCACTAGTCCAATTTTGCTCCCTGCACTGTCCGTTCCTTATTTTTCATTAAATTCATTGAGTATTCAGTTCTCCCGGAATAACACATCTTCCTCAGCATCTTCATATTCCCACGTCACTGCCACTCTTCATCACGGTTCGGTGGCAGAGTGGTAATGCATCTGCTTCTTATTTGCATATACCGACAATCTGTTGGGGAGGTCGCCTGTTGGAATCGGGCCCGAGCCATGCTGAGGCACCATCATTTTTTTTTTCGGTCATTACCCTGCACTGCCCGTGGTGCGCTCGATACAGTGTGTAATTAACTAACTGTGTGTCTCTAAGTTCGAATAACAAAAAATCCACGCAGGGGATCAGTGTATGAATATTTTTAAGCACCTAATGGTAATTTGAGTGTGCCGTGATGTGCGTAGGTACAAACACCAATCGCGATTTTTTGGAGAGGTCAGAAGTAGGTGAAGGAAGGCTCGGTAGCGGATGGTCTACACCTGCACTCCATGACGCGACTTGAATCAAGCTGATGCTGTGTAGGAGAACCCGTTCGATTCGGGCCAGAGCCATGTACATGCAAGTCAAGTTTACGAACTTTTTGGTTCAAACACAAATGATGATTCATGCAACCATGGCCACCGACACCGTAAGTGATTTCAACGAACACCTGTGAAGGGATTGAACCAGCTCAAAAACCCTCGATATTTCCTGTGTACATTCAAGCCGTCAAGTAGGCTGAGAAAGGCTCGGTGGTCGATGGTCTACACCTATACATGTCAAGGAGGACCAGAATTTGTAGGAGAGCTCGTTCGATTCGGGTCTGAGCCATATCTTGAAGGGATTTGCTTTTCTCTCTCTCTCAATTTCTGATCTGTGAGATGAGTGATGCATACTGTCACTCATATCTTCAAAATTTCGCAACTTTACTTCTTACTGGACCAGGTTATGAATTTTGTCCTGATTCAACCCCTGGCATATTCAAATATATTCGAGGTCAGAAGTGGAAAGATATCGGCTCGGCGGTGGATGGACCACACGTGCACGTGCACTCCATGCCGCTATCTGGGACATCTATGCAGGGGAAGCTCGTTCGACTCGGGCCCGAGCCATATCGGGGTTTTTTTTTTTTTTTTTTTTTTCGCTCCAAATTTCTGATCTGTGGATAAACAACTCTCCACTCCCATCTTCAACTTCCAACCATGCTTGCAGCTTACTTTCGACCAAACCAGATCCTGGATTTCGCGACTGCTCCAAGTAACACCCTATCTCATAAATCAAGATAAAAAGTAGAGGGATATCGGCTCGGTGGTGGATGGTCCACACCTGCAACACATATTGGGATGCAGCATCGTTTGTAGGAGAACCCGTTCGACTCGGGGCCGAGCCATGTGCTGAAAGGTTGCGTGTTTTTTTTTGCTCCAATTTCTCCAATTTCTGATCTGCGAGATGAGCGTTCCAACTGTAGCTTCAGAATTTTGAGCCAAGATCGAAAGTAAGCATGTCCGAGATTACAAGTTAGAGGGACATCGACTCGGTGGTGGATGGCCCACGCCTCCATTCATTGTGGGACCTACCGAGGTTTCTGGTAGAGTAGCCCGTTCTACTCGGGCTCGAGGCTATAACCGGGGAGGGGCACTCACTTTTTCATCAGTAAAATCAACCCAACATACCCACAGGCCGAAGCATATTTTTTCTTTGATTTTGGCAGCAATGATCCCGGGGATGAGCACACTCAATAGACAGGTTGTGCAGTAGCCACCGAGCCAGCTGGTGGTTGATTTGCTGTGCGCAAATGGTGGCTGCTGGCTCGAATGGCTAAAATCATGACACATTTTCTTTGGTTCAATTGACTCGTTTTGGGATCCATTTGAGCATTCACAAGTACATGGTCACCCCACGCCTCTAGCTAGCTGAGGAAAGGCTAATAAATTCTCATTTGAGCAGAAATTACGTTGGGTGAGTGTTCAGAGTGGTTTCCGAGGCAGAAAAGCATGGCTATCCTCTGCCTTTCACAGTGATTTGCTACCTGGGATGCAGAATTTTACTGAGCCACCAGCCACCGGTTGCGCACATAGAATTAGCCACCAGCTGGCTCTGTGGCTGCTGCGCAACCTGCCTAATGTTGCGAATGACTTGTAACAAAATGGAACCACTTTTAGGGTTCAAATTTCTTGCATACATTCAAGCTGATAAGTAGGTTGAGAAAGGCTCGGTGGTGGATGGTCCACACCTACAATATATGTTAGTTGCAGAATAGTTTGTAGGAGAGCCCGTTCGACTCGGGCCCGAGCCATAAAAGTTTACGAACTTTTTGGTAGGTTTCTGGAGGAGCAGCCCGTTCGACTTGTGCTCGAGCCATGTGCAGGAAAGTTTGCGTTTTTTTTTTCTCTCCCTGAATTTCTGATCTGCGAGATTCAAATGTACCACTGACCCTCCTATCTTCGAAATTTCTGCAACATTAACGAACCACTGCGCGGTTTTCCACCGATTATCTTGCCAAATATACTTGAGGTGTCGGGCGGGAACGAGGCATGGCCGCAGACTTTGATGTTGAGTTGGCCGGAATGAGATGTGACCGACGCAAAAAACGAATTATCATTTATAGGATTGAACAGCTGTACGGCGAACGTCTGTCAATCGCAACGCAGGGAGACCCATACCAGAACGGACAATATGAGACTCACGGACGTCCATGCCCACCGCATTTTTGTTGCCCTCGCAGCTCCCGCTCCCTTGACGAATTGACGAATTGGAACTTTGGGGCACGCGTCACATCCCTTGACGAATTACTTTTAATAGTACAGTACTACACGGGAAAAAATGGATGCAGGAAATCTCGAATACCAAGCACGTGCTTGGAGAACAACTACAAAACACCGAAATGAAGCAAAGTTCAACAGACTCTGAAGACATTCAACTAATGCATGGCGCGTGAAGGTCCTCATTTATGCGTCATCTTCACTCCATTCCAGGCATCTTGCTGAGCATCCACTAAATTTAATGGTCCCCCCCCCCCCCCCCCCCCCCCCCATCTGACCCGTCAACCCGCGCGCTCTCTAGATGTCGGCAAAACAAAGTAAGCGATCGCGGTAAATTTCCTCACGAGGAATGGCTGAGCTCACCTAGTATATCCGCGCGGCGCAGAAATACCCCGCCTTCGCACACCCCTTACTTTTCTTCTTGCACGTCGACAACGCTGTACTGGCCGCCTTGCTGCCATCGTTTTTCCCATACCCGCGCGCGTACGACAGCGCCACGTATGTCGAGCCGAAGTCGATGCCAACACAGCCCTCCTCTATGCACGAGTAGGACTTGCAATCGCTCTTCCCGCATTGCTTCTTCGCATTTTGGAGGGCGGAGGACTCTGAGCCGCCTCGGGACCACCCGTAGTGGCCACTCGAGGTGGATACTGCGACGCAGACCCAATAATGGGTGCTTGCAGCGACCACAGGCGCAGCGACCGCGGGCGCGGCGTCCTTGTGGGCGGGGACCAAGGGGCCGGTGCGTCGACCGACTCGGGGACGTCGAATGGGGTGAAGCCGTCAACGGGATGGGCGGTTACGTTGGACGTTTGGAGGGCTGGCGAGCCAAGAACACCGAGGATCCCCGACGCGGCGAGAGTGAGGAGAGAGAGAGCGAGTTTCATTTCGGCGTCTTGTTGGGCGGGGTGGATGCCCTGCTATCGGACGACCTTCACTTTTATACGATCCACAGTCAGGCGCTAAAGCGAACAGAGATTTGGGGGTACTTTATTAAAAGCCCGATTGCTATCACTGCGCTACAACGTTGGGAACAACACTAGGAATGGGTAAGAATCAGTATAACGATAAAAATCGGCACAGCCCGCTGTCAGGTTCAAGGACCCGATTTACATCTCTTGGCACTGCAGAGGCAATCCTCCTCCTCCTCCTCCCCAAGGAAAGATTATTTGGCGGAAAGAGGCTGATCTACCCTCGCACGCTACCCACGCTGTATCGAATACCTACCCGCCCACCGTCTGCTCTCATCGACCCTCCCGTTAGCGCCACTCGCCGATCTTTCCATCCATAATCTACCCGTTTTTACTGTTGATCTGTCCACTTATTCAATTCACTCAGCCGCCACCTGCGTGTCTGCTGCCATGTGGCGGACCATCCCTGAAAACCAAACGTTAGCAAGTGTATTAAGTTTGATTCAACATTCCCTGTCTCCACACATAATCAAGTTTCAACTTGTAGTAAGAGTTATGGTTAGCGGTTAGGGGTTAGTGGTCAGGGGTTGGCGATTTGGGGTCAGCGGTTAGGGTTAGGTATGGGTGAACGAGTTGCAAAAGCAGTGCGGGATAGCTGCGGAATGAGATGGTAAACATCTGCCAAGAGCACGTACCGTAGTGCGACAAGAGCTGGTGCCATACAGGAAATCATCGCGTGGCTTTCGCTTTCCGCCGCCAAGCGACAGAACGAGCGTCTCTTGGAACTCTAACTTTGTACCATTCTGCCCAGCGAAGAATTTCGATGCCCAGGGTGTGGGATAGTAGCAGGCGAGTTAATGTTGAAAGTTGAAGTCACAAGAAACAGTGCAAACAAGTCTGGATTGAATACAGGATTCAGAGAAGTATAAATACAAAGTCGTGTATCTACAGCTAAGTAACCGAATACATCGAACAATGGGAGATAGAAATCAGGGATACTAATCTGGCCATAAAGGGAGTGCTGTTACAGGAAAACCCTTGCGAGCCACATCCTTCTCAAGCGTAAAGTCCTGGAATGCGTGGCTAACCACCAGGTCATAGAGAGTGAAGCCCAGCCACGAATCGAACAGAAATGAGCGGAGAAATTATGAGAATCAATACACAAAACCACATAATTTCCCAAAAATAAAAGAGAAACATCTCCTTATCTCCCTCCTCTGACATTGAGCTCAACGTCGCAGGCGAGCTACGTTTTCCAGGTGAATACGATGAAAACGATTCCGGTATACCAAGCTCCGAGATCCATATATATATGTGGTTTCCCAAGCTATCCCGCAAACTTTTTTTTTTTCTTTTTCTTTCTGGCGTATCGTAAAAGCCTATGCGTGAGATAACTACGCAAAGGCTACGTTTTTTTTTTATCTCTCACGTGGGGGGCTGCCAAATAACAAAATTCTATTTGGCAACCCCAGATCGCCGGCAGGGCTGCCAAATAGAATTATCCATGCAGTGGTGGGGGCGGCGATCAGTTTTCACGGTCTTCAAACCAACCTCCGTGACAAAATAT